GGAAAATTATGGGGAAATTTTATCGAAATTCTGCTGGCACACGCCCAACCCCACTGGTACATCCAGGTAGCCCTAGTGCAAAATCAAAAACATTTTAAAATCGGAAAATTATGGGGAAATTTTATCGAAATTCTGCTGTGTAGAATCGCAATGCAAACAACTTTTGGCTGATGGATGTACACAACAGCCCTCACAGCTGAGAAGCTCCCCTCATGGTCATCAAAACCCCTCAAATCCTTGAATTTCTATTTCATCTCCTTTGCAACAGGACCTGCGTTCTCAACGTATCTTCCATTTCCCCAAAAAGGTAGTGAAACCCTAATTCAATCTCGTCGGTGCAAACCGAGCCCTTGGCAAGACAAGCAGAGATAAGCACAGCCCCTTTGCTCTGCTCCATTATTTTTACAAAAAAGGACAAACCCGCCCGGCAGCTGCCACCACCACCATTAGATTCCCTCAATTCTTCTTCCCTTTGTTGAGAAGCAACAGCTGAAGAAAAAGCTGATGCTTGTACGGGGATGGGGATGGTAGGGGCGGTAGCAGCAACAATCTCTGACTCGTGAAAGCTGCTGCCTTGCTGAGGCAACCGTGGTCCAATCTCTTCTTGTCTGTCATTCCTTCTGTTCGAACCAAGCATCGAATCCGCAACCTCCAACTTGTCAAAGCTGCCGACTTGCTGGGGCAACTGAGGTCCAATCTCTTCTCGTTTGTCATCATTACTTCTGGTCAGTGTGGAAATCGTACACACAACCTGCAGTTTGTCAAAGCTGCTGTCTTGCTGGGGCAACTGAGGTCCAATCTCTGCTCGTCTGTCGTCATTACTTCTGTTAGATCCACTAACCACAACCTGTGACTCGCTGTCTTGCTGGGGCAACTGAGGTCCAATCTCTGCTCGTATGTCGACATTACTTCTGCTCGATGTGGGAATCAAACACACAACCTGCGACTTGTCAAAGCTGCTGTCTTTCTTGGGCAACTGAGGTCCAATCTCTCCTCGTACGTCGACATTACTTCTGTTTGTCCCACAAACCACAACCTGTGACTCGCTGTCTTGCTGAGGCAACTGAGGTCCAATCTCTGCTTGTATGTCGACATTACTTCTGGTCGATGTGGGAATCAAACACACAACCTGTGACTTGTCAAAGCTGCTGTCTTGCTTGGGCAACTGAGGTCCAATCTCTCCTCGTACGCCGACATTACTTCTGTTCGTCCCACAAACGACAACCTGTGACTCGCTGTCTTGCTGGGGCAACTGAGGTCCAATCTCTGCTCGTATGTCGACATCACTTCTGGTCGATGTGGGATTCAAACACACAACCTGCGACTTGTCAAAGCTGCTGTCTTGCTGGGACAACCGAGGTCCAAACTCTGCTCGTGTGTCGACATTACTTCTGTTCGTTCCACGAACCACAACCTGTGACTTGCTGCCTTGCTGGGGCAACTGAGGCCCAATCTCTGCTCGTATGTCACTACTGCTGCTTTGTCCAGGAATTGAACCGGTGATCTGAAACGAGTGCACATCCATTTTGCAAAGCGCTCCTCGCTTCCTAAGCTCAGTTGTTAGCAGTTGAAGTACAGTGAATGCAGTCACTTTCTGTCCAAGTCCCTCTAGTGCAAAAGAGATCTTCGGTACCCTCCGCTGCTGCTGCTGCTGCTGCTGCAACCAGTTTGTACGTTTTGTCGCGTCCTTCTTTGCTGAAGACGAGGACAAGAATGGTTGTTGTTGTCGTTGTTGCTGTCGTACTATTCGCTCCCTGATCCATAGTGGTTGGTGCACATGATTCGCTCTCGGCAATTCCAAGAAAGACCACGCAAGCCCCCACCTCATCGTTCGTCCTTGTCGAAATTCCGTTGTCCTCAACTGTGGCACCTTCAGGTTCCGCAGAAGAGCAATCAGCGATTTCAGATCCGTTTTCCTGCCAACCATAACTGTGTACCATCGAATTTGCCTCCTCAAGATCAAGCTCTCTCCAATCATTCCTCTTATGAATGCGTACTCCCCGCCTTCGCAGACCATCTCCTCAAAGGTCCCACCACATGCCGTCTTCGGATTGGCCTTGGCGAGCTCAATGGACTCAAAGAAGGGAGGATTACACAAGCAAAAGTCGAAGCACTCATCTTCTCCTACGACTCCCAAGAAAATATGACCTAATTTCATGCCGCACACCCCGACCTTGCACCTTCCACACTCCACTCTCTCTTCTACATCCCCCTCCACATTGTCATCTCCTCCTCTCAGTTGATTTTGCCCTCCATCGCCATGCCCTTCTCGACCTTCGTCTCCACCTTCAGCTCCATATCGTTCTTCTCCCTCATCGCCATTGCCATCGCTGGCCGGGATGACTTGGCCACCATCGCCATGACCCGATCGAGCAAACTTCTTATTACCTACTTGCTTACCTTCTCCTTCACCTCCTGCTCCTCCCCCTCCTCCTCCTCCTCCATTTACTCTTGCTCCTCCCCCTCCTCCTCCATTTACTCCTCTAGATGCAGCCGCCATCGTTTCCGATGCATGGTACTTCATCTTCTTCTTCCCTTGAACTCGTTGATAATCTTCGGCGCCATCATCATAGTGAGTGATTAGTGAGTGCTGGCTTTCCCGAGAAGTGTAAAAAGACGATGAAGCGTCCCGCCCATTTTCATTCGATGGAGAAGGATGAACACAATTCATAGTCTTCCGTAGCTGCCATCGCCATTCTTCTTGGGGGTTCAATTCCACCACTGCCATTCTTCTTGGAGGTTCAATTCCACCACTGCCCTCGTCGACGCCGCCATCATCCCCATCATCTCCACCATCAACGCCATCACCACCATTGCTGCCATACCTCCTTCCACAATCGACACCATCGTCGGCGGTGGCTCCAGAATCACAACCATCTCGTTCTCTCTCTCGACCTATCTGATCGATCGCCTCTCCCTCTGTCTCCTCTTCTCCTCTCTCCTTTCCTCCTCTCTCATCGTCTTCTCTCTCCTTCAACTCGGAGAGTTCCATTCTCACAGGAGCAGATGACAGCGTCATCAACCCACCTGCATCGTCTTCACCTTTACGCGATACCTTCTTCAGCGCATCGTCTCTTTCCCCTTCTCCTTTCTCTCCTTCCGATGGCAGATCGTGAGTTGCAGTAAGAATGCCAGTCCCATCACCATCGCCATCGCCAACATTGGGTCCTCCTCTTCCCGATGAACAAACCACGCTCCCCGGCCACGGACACGGGCCGCCCCACTCTCCTTCCCGCTCTCTCTGATCTTGATCCTCCTCCCCTCCCTTGCGGCTACTCCTCATTTTTGTTGCCCTACACGCCGGTACGCCTGCATCGGCTTTTCGCACTTCGATTAGAGCGTTCAGGTGTGGATTAGCTGCCACGTTTGCCCGAGCTGCTTCCAAAGCTCTCTCTGACGTGTCTGTCCCGACGAAATGCCAGCCATGAATACTTGCCCCCAGCAAGGGATAGATGCAGTTCGCTCCAGTGCCAATATCCAGCCCTCTCACGCCACCATAGCCGCCACCACCTCCATCAAGCGATGACCGCCCATCGTCCTCTTCCATTGTGCTACCATCGCCATCGCCATCGCCATCGCGATCGCGATCCCAAGCGCCATCGATCATCCTCATTGTCATCGCTGTCAGATCGGCGATCCATCGGATGTAATTAGCACGGTTTGTCACAGCGGGACATAAGTGCTCTGGTGGCAGCGACCAATTAACTCCGTGTTCATGATGAAGCAGGACACGTGTCAATTCCCGGGTAGCATTGTAATCAGTCCAATCAATACTCGCCCAGCCGCTGCCTTTAGGACCACCCCTATATCTCACATACTCCCTAAAGGAAGGGTACTTCTCTGCGAGCACTCTGAAATCAGGGGTCTCTTCTGCATACTGCTCAGCTGGTTGCCACGCAACATCCCCGCTGCCCCTTTTCCTCTTGTGGTGCGGATCCCATTTACTTCCCCCCCCCTTCCCAGATGATGAACCGTTCTCGTCTCTCGTCGCCGACACAGTGGGCCATTGGGCAGCAGCCCCTACCATCGCTCCTTCTCCCTGATGCAAGTCCTCTGAGCGTCACCTCCCCCCCCCCCCCCCCACCCCAACTCCAACTCACTTGTCCTTTCCAGGGCTCAATAAACCCTAACGATAGAGCTGCGTCCCACGGTTTTTGCCGTCAGAAGGATTCAAAATCTCGCGCAGCCATGGAGGCGGCGTTGGTTAAATAAAATATTATAATCTGCCAAAACAAAAGGGGGAAATTGTGTCAATGAACTGGATTTGCTGCTGGACCGAGGCCAAACTTGCTGCTATACCCCAGTACCGGGTTGCGGAAATTGCTGCTGGGCCCAGGCGTCGTTTAGAACCCCCGGGATATTGTCGTTATACCCAACAACCAGATTGTTTAAATTTAATAAATGCCCGACATCCGATAGGACCAAACAAATTGTCATTGTGCCCCCCACTACAGTCCCACGAATCCTCCTCTCTCTCTCTTTCTAAACAAATTGTCGTTATGCCCCACTACCGTGCCACGAATCCTCAACTCTCTCTCTCTCTCTCTCTCTCTCTCTCTCTCTCTCTCTCTCTCTCTCTCTCTCTCTCTCTC